GGCTGACCTCCCCCTCCTGTGACCCTCGGACTCCGCACAAGGTCGCTCCCAGCTGGCCTTGCCACACACCCCTCCCTCTCCCAGAAAATCTAGCTGTGTCATTTCACTGACATTTTTAATGCCATCCGCTCATGATGTGCAGACAGAGAGGCAGGCAATTTTGTTCTGCTCTGGCAGAAAAACAAAACAAAAACATTTTAGCACAGTGGCCGTCCACAGAGCAGCAGTGTGATCCTGCAAGGTGGGAGAGACTGTTACTTTCTCAGCCAGCCCTTCCAAGAAAACCGATGGCCAAGAAGGAGCTTTTGCACCATTTCCCACTACTTCCTCCCGCCAGCCATCATTTGTTTGGGCAGTGCCTTAGAGAACCCAGCACCTCTAAGGTGCCAGGCGAGTGCTCTACCACTGGGCTACACCCGGGCACTCATGTGGAAGGCTTCACTTCATCGACAGAAAGCCTTGCTAAGAAAAGGCTTCTTGTGGCTTTTTAAAATATGGAAATGCATTCTCAAAATTCAAATGTAACCAAATTTAGAGGCTTGTCAATACATTTTCAATTCTTACCTGCAGTCGCTTTGTGAGTGTGTATAATTGTTGACGTAATGGTATTCAAAATGATTATCTTTGGGATGCTGAATTAGCTGTATTTGTACCTATATATTTTCTAAAGAGAGCAGATTTCTCAGAGTTCTTATTTTAAAGGTAACTACCATATCTACGTATTAAATAAGGGTTTATTTTAAAGAAAAGATTCTTCCCCAAACGAGCATGGAGAGCTGTTAGGAATATATAACATTCTTTAAAAATTTTTAAAAATCATGTGTAAGTAGTTGTACAAAGGGGTTTCAAGTGAACATGTCAATTTATGAGTATAACGCATCCTGATCGGTGGGCAGATTAAATTTGAAAGTGGAAGGAAGTCTTTACAGTTTCCAAGTAACTGATAGAATTTGTTGGCAAATCCTAATTCTTCAAACGTCTGCAGTGCCATCCTCAGATAGTGAGGCTCTGAACAGCGCTGACATTCTCCAATGTAATCATTGCATTGCACACACAGTTAGCACAGTTGCAAAATTCTTGTGCAATGTCAGTTGAAGCACATTAGCAAACAGATCAGAGCAGCAATAAGCCCCCTAAAGAATCCTAGAGGGGCAGAACTCTCTGTGGAGCCCAGACTTTCCCCACATGGAAATTTATCCAAGGAGCTACGGAACCCACTATTTAGCACAGTAAAGTAGGAGGAAGTGTTGCCATTCTTGCTAAAGATTAAATATATATCTTCTGACACCAACCAGGAAGCTCAACTCTGTGCCTCTGAAACACATTTAGGCCACTCTCATGTAGCATTTCCCTTAACAACTTGTTTAGTCAGTTTTAAGGTGGACACAAAACACTGTCAAACATCAACAGGGGAAAGAATTAAAGAGAACCAATGACTGCCAAACCCTGGCAGACCATGTGCCTTTTCTTCTTGGACACATGCCTGTCTTCCATGAAATGAAACAAAGGCATTGGTGTTTCCTATTAGTTAGCAGTATTTGTGTTAGGGATTTGGAACATATTTTACCTTTCTATAAAATTAATTCCTTTCTGAAAAGTAATTAAAGTATTACAGAAAGAACTTTCCCTTTTAGTGAGAGGATCGTTATTGCATTAGTCTATGTTAAAACTCCAAATTAAAAACCTCCTTGCTAGAAGAGATGGCTATTTTGTGAGCTCTGAAAGAAAAACAAGCTTCCCACCCAAAGATCTTGAATCACAAGGGAAAAAACTGCATTAGGCTGTCTGTTGGCAAAAGGTCAGGAAAGAGGCACATAATTTTGGGTGCCAAGCCTGTCTACAAATGTTATTAGCTAGCATTTGCTGAAAGAAGTACAGGAGGACAGTTAAGAGAATCACAAGGTGCAGAAGAGGCTTTCAATAAATAAATAGCTTATTTGGAAACAGAAGAGGGGAAAGTATTCTTGGGTGAGGAAGATTGGGGTGCTTCTGGTGAAAAGGGGTACCCTCCACAGGCTGACTGCTACAGAGAGGTGACAGGAAACCTTCCACGTGGGTGCCCACAGGTCCCAGGACCTCACAGTTACAAATGGTGTGCAGTTGGCGGCAATCTTCCTGAGACGAAGCCGCCACTCATTGTGATCATTCTTCACCCTTCCTTCTTTGGCCTTTGGCTTGGTAAGGAAGGCAGTACCTGGGAGGGTGCTGCTCCTGACACATTCACCAAACATCCTGTCATTCATTCTAAAGAGCTCCAAGGGAAACACAGTGACACATGTTAGCATCCACTGGCTATAGCAAGTCAACTCTCAGTGCATACATGGATTAAGTTTTCCATTAAAAATCCATCACAGGGCTGGAGGTACATTCAAGAGGTAGGGTGCTTGCCTAGCAAGTGCAGAGCCCTGAGTTCAAACCCTAGTGCTGCAAAAATAAAAGAGAAAGTCCAGAGCCAAGAGCAAAGCAATCACAAAAGAAAATCTGGCACATTGCTGGTGAAAGGTGGTGTCAATGTGGCTCTGTGATATTTAAGGTTGTAAAACATGGAGACAGGCCCAGTTGGCCCCTTAGAGAGCTACTGAGAGGGATGAGAACCATCACAGAGCAGCGAGCTACCTTTCCTTCCAGCTCCAAAGTAAGATCTTCTGGTGCTATGCCCGTCTGTCTGTCTATCTATCTGCCTACATATATATGTATAGAAATGGCAGCAAAACCTTATAAAGACCAGAGATCCAGAGCATATCGTCCATAAAGACAGTGCCCCAACACACACAGCCAGCCACACACTGTTACACACACAGGTGCACATATACATTGAAATCCATTACGTATTTTTTAAAATTCTGGCTAAAATATGTAGGAGCTCTTTGAAATAAAATGTTTACTTTTCACTCAGTCCTATTTATGCTACTCATAACTGTATACACACACACACATATATATACTAAAACCAAAACTGCCTTAGTTCTTAAGTCACAGTGAAAATACATATATATATTTATATGTATATACATACACACATACATATCCTTTCAAGAACTTAAAAATCTAAAATGCTCCCCTTAGACTTAGGATTCTATTACAAGAGAAATTTATAAACATGTGCGGGACATTCTGAGACAAACTTCAAGGTCTTAATAAGAAAATAACCAACACTACAGTAAGACAAACTATTCTCACACGTATTTTTTTCACGAGGCCATGTTTTTGGGGCTGTGGGCTTGCTTTGGTTTGCGGCTCTGTTCTGAACTCCAGGCCCCCCGACCTCCGCGGGGCCCCCTGTCTTCTAGGAGATGCAGTTGTTTTCAGTGCTGACTTGTCATCCGCTTCCCCAAAGCTAAGGGGATCCCAAATTCCCAACTGTGGTTCAAGGGCACCACCGTCCTCGGGCCCAGAGGCGCCTGCAGGTCCGGGAACGCCCACCCGGAGCCAGGGCGCGGGCGCGGGCGGGCTCGCGCCAGGCGCACGCCCGCCACGGGGACCCGCGCCCCGCACCCCACGCCCCGCGCCCGCCGCGCCCAGGCCCGCCTCGCCGCGGCTCTATGGAAACCGCATTTTCCTACGCCTCTTCTCCCTCCCCTGACATCCCAAACAGACGACTTCCACTTCCCGGGAGCCAGACAAGTGAATGGTGCTGATGACGCCCCGGAAAGAGCCCACGGCCGCGGGGTGCGGGGGAGGGGCGCCCCCGGGAGGGCGGGGCTGCGGGAACCGCGGGTGCGGCTCGGGTTCCGGGGCGCCGCGCCCGCGCCCCCCATTCGGGCATCGATCGGGAGCTCGCGGGCGGCTCCGGAGATGCTCGTAAACAACTGGGGCCGCGCGCCCGCCCGCCACCTCCGCGGGCCCGGCGGCGGGCACCGCCCAGTGCGGAGCAGCCGCAGGCGGGGCGCGCGCCCCCCGAGCCTGGCGCGGGATCCGCCCGCCGCAGTGGGGAGGGGAGGGGAGTGGCGGCGGGCGCGGGGCGAGGACGAGGGCCGCGCCGCCCCCGCCCAGCCCCGGCCTGAGCGCGCCCCACAACCCCCGGATCCCTGCCGGCCCCCACCCCGCCGGCCCGAGCCCCGCCGGCCCCCGCCCCGCGCCCCCTCCGCGGCGGAAGCTGAGAGCCCAATTAACTGAGTCAAAGGCGGGAGGGAAGGGCCCTCCGGGCTGCGGCCCGCCCCCGCCCCTCCTCCGCGCCCCTTTTCCCGCCCTGGGTGGCATCTCCTCCGCCCGCATCCACAACGAGCCCCTGATTAATGAAGCCGGCCCGGCCCCCGCGGTGCAGGGCCCGGGCCTCCGCGGGAGCTGGGGGAGGGGACGGCGGGAAACACGGCCCCGGGGAAAGGGGGCGGGGCGGGGGCGCCGGGCCCGCCTCCCCTAGAACGCCGCGCCCATTGGCCGCGCGCGCCGTCCGTCCGGGGCCGCGGCGCCAATGCAGCGCGGAGGGGCGGGGCGTCCGCGCCGTGTGTGCCTGCGTAACGCCGAGTCACATGTTGTTTTGCTCTTCTTAGTTCAGTCACTCGGTGCGCGATGTGTTACTCACTGTGCGGCGGGGACCGCGACGAGCCCGGGTCGCCGTTGGCAGCAGCAGCAGCCTCAGCGGCGGCGGCGGCGGCGCAGACCCCGAGTGTCCGAGCGCGCCTCGTCTTCTCTCCGCCGGGCACGGCGACAGCACCGGTGCGGCCGCGCGCGCCCTAGGCTCGGCCCCGCAGCGCAGAGACCCCGACTCTCGGCCCAGCCAGCGAGTCCCCGAGGCAGCGATCGCGGGCGGACCCGGCCGGGGGGGCGGCCACCGCCCGCTCCCGGCATCCTCGGGACCCGCGGAGCGCGCTGCGCCACCGGAGCCGCGCGGACCCGCTCCGACCCCTCCCCGCTGCCCGGGCCCGGAGGGACTCGTGCTCGGCCGGGCGGGCGACGGGTGGCGGGGAGCTGTCCCCTCCCGCGCCCCTGGGCCTCGCGCCCCTCCGCCTTCCCCCAGCCTCTCCGGGCCGGGCCGGGCCGCGCGGCCTGAGCGGCCGGCGATGGCGAGCCCTCCGCCGCCTGGGCCCCCCGGGCAGGCGGGCGGCGACGGCCCGAACCTCAACAACAACAACAACAACAACAACCACAGCGTGCGCAAGTGCGGCTACCTGCGCAAGCAGAAGCACGGCCACAAGCGCTTCTTCGTGCTGCGCGGCCCCGGCGCGGCCGGCGACGAGGCCCCGTCCTCGGCGGGCGGGGGGTCGGCGCCGCAGCCCCCGCGGCTCGAGTACTACGAGAGCGAGAAGAAGTGGCGGAGCAAGGCGGGCGCCCCGAAGCGGGTGATCGCGCTGGATTGCTGCCTGAACATCAACAAGCGCGCCGACGCCAAGCACAAGTACCTGATCGCCCTCTACACCAAGGACGAGTACTTCGCCGTGGCGGCCGAGAACGAGCAGGAGCAGGAGGGCTGGTACCGCGCGCTCACCGACCTGGTCAGCGAGGGCCGCGCGGCCGCCGGCGACGCGGCCAGCGCCGGCTCCTGCAGCGCCTCCCTGCCTGGCGCCCTGGGGGGCTCGGCCGGCGCGGCGGCGGCGGGCGACGACAACTACGGCCTCTTCGCGCCCGCCACGGCCGCCTACCGCGAGGTGTGGCAGGTGAACCTGAAGCCTAAGGGCCTGGGCCAGAGCAAGAACCTGACGGGCGTGTATCGCCTGTGCCTGTCGGCGCGCACCATCGGCTTCGTGAAGCTCAACTGCGAGCAGCCGTCGGTGACGCTGCAGCTGATGAACATCCGCCGCTGCGGCCACTCGGACAGCTTCTTCTTCATCGAGGTGGGGCGCTCGGCGGTCACGGGCCCCGGGGAGCTGTGGATGCAGGCCGACGACTCGGTAGTGGCGCAGAACATCCACGAGACCATCCTGGAGGCCATGAAGGCGCTCAAGGAGCTCTTCGAGTTCCGGCCGCGCAGCAAGAGCCAGTCTTCGGGGTCGTCAGCCACGCACCCCATCAGCGTCCCCGGCGCGCGCCGGCACCACCACCTGGTCAACCTGCCGCCCAGCCAGACGGGCCTGGTGCGGCGCTCGCGCACCGACAGCCTGGCCGCCACCCCTCCCGCCGCCAAGTGCGGCTCCTGCCGGGTCCGCACGGCCAGCGAGGGCGACGGCGGAGCGGCGGCGGCGGCCGCCGCGGGGGTCGGGGTCGGGCCCGCGGCCGGCAGGCCGGTGTCCGTGGCCGGGAGCCCGCTGAGCCCCGGGCCGGTGCGCGCGCCCCTGAGCCGCTCGCACACGCTGAGCGGCGGCTGCGGCGGCCGCGCGGGCCGGGCGGCGCCGGCGCCGGCAGGGGGCGCGCTGCAGCACAGCCGCTCCATGTCCATGCCCGTAGCGCGCTCGCCCCCCGCCGCCACCAGCCCTGGCAGCCTGTCGTCTAGCAGCGGGCACGGCTCGGGCTCCTACCCGCCGCCCCCGGGCCCGCACCCGCACCTGCCGCACCCACTGCACCTGCCCCCCGGCCAGCGCCCCTCCAGCGGCAGCGCCTCCGCCTCGGGCTCCCCCAGTGACCCCGGCTTCATGTCCCTGGACGAATATGGCTCCAGCCCCGGCGACCCCAGGGCCCCGTGCAGCCGCCGGAGCAACACGCCCGAATCGATTGCGGAGACGCCGCCCGCCCGGGACGGCAGCGCGGGTGAGCTGTGCGGCTACATGACCATGGACAGGGCGCCGGGCCCCTGCGGCCGCCCATACCGCAGGGTGTCCGGGGACGGGGCGGACCAGGACCGCGGGCTGAGGAAGAGGACCTACTCGCTGACCACACCCGCCCGGCAGCGGCCTGCACCGCAGCCCTCCTCCGCCTCCCTGGACGAGTACACCCTGATGCGGGCCACCTTCTCCGACAGCTCCGGGCGCCTCTGCCCGCCCTTCCCGGCGTCCTCGCCGCGAGTGGCCTACCACCCCTACCCCGAGGACTATGGGGACATCGAGATCGGCTCCCACCGGAGCTCCGGCGGCCACCTGGCGGCGGATGACGGCTACATGCCCATGAGCCCGGGCGCCGCCCTCCTAGGGACCGCTGCCCTCCCGGGGGTCGGCCGGCCGGCCGGCCGGGGCGACGACTACATGCCCATGAGCCCCACGAGCGTGTCGGCCCCCAAGCAGATTCTGCAGCCCAGGGCCGGCCCCGCCGCCGCTGCCGGCCTGCCCCCCGCGGGCGCTGCCGTGCCCGCGCGCCCCTTGGCCGCGGGCAGGACCTTCCCGGGGGGCGGCTGCAAGGCAGGGTCCCCCGCGGAGAGCTCCCCGGATGACAGCGGGTACATGCGCATGTGGTGCGGGGCCAAGCTGCCCGCGGACCACGCTGACCCCAAGCTGCTCCCCAACGGGGACTACCTCAACATGTCCCCCAGCGAGGCAGGCCCCGCGGGCACCCCGCCTGACTTTTTCGAGGAGGCGCCCCGGGGCGCGCCCGGCGGCTTCTGCTACAGCTCCCTGCCCCGCGTGCACAGGGGGCCCTGCCCCTGCGGCGGCGGCGACGGCGACCAGTACGTGCTCATGAGCTCCCCCGTGGGGCGCATCCTGGAAGAGGAGAGGTCGGGGCCCGCGGCGGGGGGCCTCGGCCAGGCTCAGCACCCCTCGGGGAGGCCCGGCGGGGGCGGCGGCCGCGCTGAGGTCCTGCCAGGCCCGCGCTGCCGGGCGGTGCGCCCCACGCGCCTGTCCTTGGAGGGGCTGCAGACCCTGCCCAGCATGCGCGAGTATCCCGCGCCCCCTGAGCCCAAGAGCCCCGGCGAGTACATCAACATTGACTTCGGCGAGGCGGGCCCGCGTCTGTCCCCGCCCGCGCCGCCGCTGCTGGTCTCGGCCGCCTCCTCCTCGTCGCTGCTGTCCGCCAGCAGCCCGGCCTCATCGCTTGGCTCGGGCACCCCAGGCACCAGCAGCGAGAGCCGCCAGCGCTCTCCACTCTCCGACTACATGAACCTGGACTTTAGCTCGCCCAAGCCCGGCGCCCGGCGCGGCGGGGACCCTGCAGGCTCCCTGGACGCGCTCCTTTCCCCGGAGGCAGCCTCCCCTTGCCCGCCCCTGCCGCCTCGCCCGCCAGCCTCGCCCTCCGCCCTGCAGCCGCCGCCCCCGCCGCCCCCCGCCGAGCTCTACCGCCGGCCTCCGCCCGCGCCCGCGCCCGCCCCCTCGGACCCCGGCGCCCCCGCCGAGCCCCTCGGGGACTCCGCCGGGGACTACACCGAGATGGCCTTCGGCGTGGCCGCCACCCCGCCGCAGCCCATCGCCGCCCCGCCGAAGCCGAAGCCCGACGGCGCCCGCGTGGCCAGCCCCACGTCGGGCCTGAAGCGGCTGAGCCTGATGGAGCAGGTGTCAGGCGTGGAGGCGTTCCTGCAGGCCGGCCCGCCCACCGACCCGCACCGGGGCGCCAAGGTGATCCGCGCCGACCCGCAGGGTGGCCGTCGCCGCCACAGCTCCGAGACCTTCTCTTCCACCACCACCGTCACCCCCGTGTCACCCTCCTTCGCCCACAACCCCAAGCGCCACAACTCGGCCTCCGTGGAAAACGTGTCTCTCAGGAAAAGCAGCGAGGGCGGCGGTGGCAGCGCCGGAGGGGCCCCGGTGGACGAACCGGGTCCCGCCGCCGCCCCAGGCCAGGCCCCGCCGCTCTCTGGGCCCCAGGCGCCCCCGGCCCGCGCGTGGACCCCCGGGCAGCCCGGGGCCTTGGCGGGCTGTCCCTCCGGGGCCGGCGGTTCGCCCCTGCGCCGAGAGACCTCGTCGTCGGGGTTCCAGAGCAGCCTCAACTACATCGCCATTGACGTGAGGGACGAGCCACCACCCGCGCAGCACCCCCAGTCCGCAGACAAGAGCTCCTGGGGCCGGACCCGCAGCCTGGGGGGGCTCCTCGGCGCGGTGGGTGGCGGCGGCCCGGGCCCCGGTGCCCTGCCCGCCGCCAGCGCCTACGCCAGCCTGGACTTCCTGTCCCATCACTTGAAGGAGGCCACCGCGGTGAAAGGTGAGGCTCCGGGGTGAACGGTGAGGCCAGTGCGGCGGGGGGGGGGGGGGGGGGACAGAGGCTGCCCCTGGGCCTCCCTCCTGGCTGGACGCCGGGGCACGGGCGCGGACACAGGTTCACGCCCCCCCCCAAGAGCGCAAGGTGGGGGGGCGGGAAACGACACTTAGGTGGGCCCTGGGTTTCAGTTGATGCCTTCTTCCCCTTGGGAGGGAGACTCGGCCTTGTTTCAGCCCCATTTGTCTTGAGTCCCTTCCCCACCCCTTGGCTCTGAGGAAGTTCACCAGCTAGGCCCCACTCGAGGTCGAAGGTGAGACATGGCCAGAGGCAGACCGTTGGGGGGGCTGCTTCCTCGTGGGCCTGGCCCCACCCCAGGTCGCTGTTCAAGCCACAAGGCTTAGGAGAGGCCTTGGTACATCGGTTTGGGTGGCTGCTGAAAGGGAGCATCCCAGATTTGCAGGAAGCCGGAGGAGCCTGCCCATGGGGGTGTGGTTGTCACTCGGAACGCTTGCAGCACCCTGCATGCTGTCTGGGAACCCTGGTTTACCACCCAGGGTGGGGTGGTCAACTAGGTGGGGCCTAGCCCAGAGCCCGAAGGTCTTTTTATTGGGTTTGGTTTTGTTTTCGTTTTTTTCTTTGAAACACATCTCATGGTAGCCCAGGCTCTCTTCAAATTCTCCATCTTCCTGCCTCAGCCTCCTGAATGCTGGGATTAGAGGGGTGCATCACAGAAGGTGCAACTCTAGTCAATCCTTAGGTTATGTGTGGATGATGGAACTCGGAGAAACCAGTGGGGCAGTTTTAGAATTACAGACCCTGTGATAGTCAATCATGGGCTGACAGAGATCAAATGCTGGTGTTTCTCACAGTAGCCTGGTGGTTTAAAAGTGCAGCCAGGTCTCAGGATCAGTGCTTTAAGGAAACAGGGCAAGACAAAAACACAGGTCTTTCCAAGAACAGCTGGACATGAGGCTGCTCAGCGCTCTTCCCATCTCATTAACTATCCATGAGCAACCAGAGATGGGTTTGCGCTCTCTCTGCAGCTGGCCAGCCCTTCTGGCTGCCTTGGACTGAGAATGGGCTGTCAGGGGAGGCAGGAGGAGCTGGAGTGTTGTTAGAGTCAAGTGTTGTTAATTGTGTAGCTGTTGGTTCGGGTGTTAGCAGGCTAGGCTGAGGGAACCGTTCCCTCCTACTGGTGTGGGTAGACCCTGTACTGGGTGCTGGTGTGAGCTGAGCACTGACTGGCAGAGGGGATGATGGGATGTTGCGGGGGATCTGCATGCCTTTTGTTTGTAAACTGAGCAGACCAGATGAATGCTGCTGAAGTCCAGCGTGGATGATGTGAAATGATAGCTGCAGGCGGAGTACCCTTTGTTCTATTTCCTTTCCTATTACGGCCGTAGAAAGGCAGAGGCAAAGTCAGACGGAACGATCAGATTCAGGGCCTGAGAGGTTGCTGCCATGTTCTAATTCAGGGGACTTCAGTTGAAGGTCACTTTGCTTGGAGTTATATTAAACACTGTGAAATTGTGAGGGTGCCAGGGAATCAAAGTGCTAGCTGCCATCCAAGCCATCAACCATGTAAACAGAGCAGCGTGGAAGGGGATGCGGAAGGAAGATGAGGGCTCGCGCATGCGTGCACCCACTTACACGCAAACATATGGTGTGTCCACGTGGGTATACATCAAAGTCAGATGGAGGGAGCCTCTTTTTGCCCATATCTGCTTCTAATTAGATGTACAGCCTGAGGATGGAACACCTCCCTGTCTTGATGAAGGGGCAGATGGAACCCACAGAGCTGAGGTGGATGGGTCCAGGACTGTGATTTTTTTTTCCCATGGAAGCCTGGGCTACAACCCAGCCCACAGCCAAGAGGACTCAAGGCCTCTGGAACCACTGTATTTCAGCTTAAAATTCCATTGTAGGTGGCCTCTTGTAGAATAGTGACAGTTCTGATCTATAGCAGGTGAGTTTGCTTAGACACCTGTCTTAGTCTGTCCTATTTAAGGTTTCCCATAGGCGTAAAATTGCTCTCCACCTATAGGATTCACAGTTCTGAAGTCTAGGCAGCAGTTTGCTTGCATGTTCCATGCTGAATAGAGGTCATTTTAGGTGCTGCTCTTTTTCCAAAGTCTGTGGTTATCATGGTAAGCAGCCTTATGAGAAGGAAAAAGACAATGCTAAAGGAAAAAGATAGTTCCAATTTGTCCAACTGCGCCCAAACCACATGTTAAAAAGAAGGCACATAGGCCAAATTGGATTTCTAGAAAATGACTTCAGGGAACAGGAGAAAGGGAGAGGCGAGCTTGCGGTCCTTGCTAGGGAAGCCTGTTCCCTGCTGTGCAGTACATACTGGACTTCATGGAATGTTCCTTTCTATGGAACTGAAAGAGGATGTTTAGAAACTCAGAATGGACATTGACTTTCATGAAACTCACACGTGCAAGTAGAAACTTTATTTGGGGTGCTTACAGATTAAAGGTTTTTCGTAGATGACTGTCCTTGGGGAAAATGATTTATAAAGCTGGATTCAAGTACTTCTTTAGGGGGTGTAGCAGGAAATGGGCTTCGTTTTGCCCGAACTCTTAGAAGCTTCCAACCAAATCAGCGGTAGATCAGACCTTGTCAGTGCCTGGGAAGCAAAATAATGGGGTGGGGGCTCGGGGTGTTCTGTAGTGTTGAGTGTTTGCACACGTGGTAACCGATATGTTTGCGCACATGGTAACCAAGCCGCCCAGTTGCAGCAATGATTGGTAATAGCAGAATTGGGAACCAACTGAGAGCAGCACTGACTGGAAAGCCAGCATACCTTAGTTGTGTGTATATACATATGATGTACATGTGTGTACTAATTTATGCTTATTATCTTACTGGTCATGTGTTTCATGTGTGTGCACAGAAAAACGTGATTGTTCTATAGGATTTTTAAATGTTATGTGTTTGAAAGCAGCTCCTTAAAATTAATTTTATTTCTGTATGAGTATGCTAGGTTGATGTGGCCCCTCGCGACATGTTGGTACATCCTTACTAAGGGGCTTTTTATTCTAAAATTGGTTTGTGCATAGCAAACAGATTAGATTAGAACTACCACTACAAAAAGCATCTACTTTTAAGTTTTCCTGGTATAAAGACCATCCACTCCTATCTTGGAGTAAAAAGAGTCTGAAATTAAAAGTGTTTCCAAAGGAAGAGTAAGAATTGGAACTCTTGTCTGGAAGGTATTGCCCCTCAAAGTCTTAAAGTAGTGCCATGAGCCTCAGGAAGGCTGCATGGGCCGGCTTTGCTTCTGGGAGGTGCCCTGGGCTATGTGGAAAGAAATATGGTGCAGGGCGCCCCACCCTCTTTGCACTAGGAGACAGCCAAGGTGCCTGAGAAAACACACAGGCTTTCGTGAATGAAAGTCACGTGGCTTGTTCTGATTCCTTTATTGAAAGAGAAACCTTTACGAAAATAGTACTTCAGAGACGGAAGAAGCAGAGTGCGTGGAGCCAGGCAGCCAGGTTTCCGGCTGCTGCTCTTGAGTCTGCGTGTGACTGGGCAGGCTGCTTCACCCCTGCTTCTAGGTTTCTAGCTGCTATGGGGTGATGCTAATCTTTCTCTCTCCCTGTCTCAAGGCCCCATGAGAGACAGCGAAGATTATAAACACCAAATGTGTTGGAAGACCCTCTGATGCATGCAGGCAGGCTGTGATGCTGAGCTGGTGAAGATGGGGTTCTGGGAGTGGCAGGGCACCCCCACCAAGCCCTTAGTAGGCAGCATATGGAGGCAGTGCCTCCTGAAATGCTTGCCTTGGCTGCTTCTCTGCACGAGTCTCTACGTTCAATGAGAACCAGTGTCCCCTCCCTCTCCCCCCTCCTTTAGCCTAAGGTTTCATCAGAGAGCTAGGTGTAGCCCTGGCTGAGTGGTAGATTCTTTACACATGTGAGAGGTTCTGGGTTTGATCACCAGCCAGCAGAAGAAAACAAAACAAGATTTGTTCGTAGAAAACTCTGGAAAGTAACAAAGTAGTGTTTTACATTTCATGGTAGAATAACAATGCAGGAAAACTGCCTGATTTCTGACCCATCTTCAAAGCCCACTTTGGATTCCCTTTGAGAAGTTGTTCCCCTGTGGAGAGCTCTTGACAAGATCAGAATATATCATCAGAATATACATTTAGGAAAACTTGGGTGGGGCTTCATGGAGGAGGGCAGAATAAAGGCTAGCAGAGCCCGGAACTTTCCTGGCTTTGTTGTCTGGGGGTTGGTTTCACTCTGTCTTCACTGACGGGTTACAAGTATAGTTTTGATTTGTAGCACTGAGCTGTTTGGTTGTCAAAGTAGAGGAGGAAGATGTTTGGTTGTTTTGTTCTTCTACCCCCCAAAGAGGAATTTTGGTAGATAGGTAGTGTTTGGTTTTCTTTAGCAGGATCTCTGTTGTAATGGAGCTCTTTTGAGAAGGGCTGGCAGAAGGCTCACCGACAGTATGGGCATAATGGCTTTCTGTTAAAATTCCTACTAACGCGATTCTGTGCAAGCACAGTTCCAGGAGCTAGGTAACCTGTGGTATCAGATCTGGCAAGTGGAAAGGCTTTTTTGTCTTGTTTTGTTTTGTTTTGTTTTGTTTGTGGGGTAGCATAGAATCCATTGCTCCCATTTCACCTTAGAAACTGAAGGGGAAATGTAACTTTACTCTTATCTGCCTCGCCAAGTGCAGAGCGGGAAACAGGCAGAGGGAAACGGAGCCCAGCCTAGCACGCCCCTCTGGGGCTGTGTGTGTGTGTGTGTGTGTGTGTGTGTGTGTATGGGGCAGGAGGTGTCTTCTCTGCACTTTGTTTCTCTAGACCAGCAGGAGTAAAATATGTCTCTGTAGACGCTGTCTAGATGAGCTAAGTAAAATTTCTAAATTTTCAGAATTGCCAGTTTTTGTAAAAGGTGAGGGGACTTACCAGTCCCGAGTTCTGTGACCACCCTTTTATCCACCTGGGTTGGGACACTGGGTGGATTTTCTTGTGTGCGCGCTTA